ACTCATAATTTCTTGTTACCTATACTTTATATGAAATTGTAACTAAATTCATGAATGAATAGTTGCAGAGGATGAAATATAAAAAGGGCGGTAAGCCTTATGATAATTGAGATTTGTATAATATAATTGGTCCAAACACCTTGCAAATACTTTAGGTGATAATTGATTTTGCACCTTCAAAAATTTTTAACCGTAAAAAATGAGAACGTTAATTGATGTGCATGTAATAAAATGAATGCCTATTAATCTTGATCTAAAAGCAGCCAATAATTGACATGATATACAATATTTAAATTATACAAATATATTCTAATTGTTTATCTTGATCACATAGTTATCATTGTATTGAATTAAATATCATTATGAAATGACTATTTACAAATAATAAGTGAATTGATTCATTTGTGTATTTTTCTAATTTTTGTTTTTGAAATTTTTTTTTTATTTTTTAAAAATAAAATATCGAGTTTTATATAAAATTTATTTGTTATATAAAATGTCTTATTTTTAATTATTTTAATTTTTCGTTGCACTTTATTTTCAATTCATAGCAATTTCTTATGCAAGCGCGCAGTTTCTTTTATATTGTTTCCATCACAACTCATTTATTTTGAATCCGTATCCTTCATTAATTTTATAAATTTATTGGCACTGGAATTTTCTTTTTTCTTTTTTACTTTTAAAAGTCCTTGCATCAAGCACCAAGAACACTTCATAAAAGTTTTCTATTCTTACTTTATTAATCGCCTAATTTTATTTTCTCTTAAAATTAAAATGTTCAATCTGATACTCTTGTTTGCTATCCAAAATTTCAAATCTGGCAATCATTTAACTAAACAAACTGCATATGAATTATGGTTAATGTGATAGAATAATAATATGATCTGATATAATATACCGATATGCTATTAATATATTATCTAATATTATAATATATAATATTTTAAATAAAGCATCAGTGAGTTTAATTAGTATCAATTTCAAAGGTTGGTCTAAGTGGATAGAACTTGCCTTGATGCATAGACATTTACAACAAAGCTCTATATAAAACAAGATTGATCCATATAAACAAATAAAAAATAAAAAAATTAAATCTAGAAAAAACTAGCTAGACTAGATTGTGCCACATTGAGGAATTTTGATTTATTTGTTTCCCTTAATCTCCCGGCCCACGCATATATAGACATTGCTATCATGCCACCTGAAATCGACAGGCCCAACAAGGCCCACCCGGCCCAATCCAAAAAATTCTATTGATGGTGTGAATTAGCTGGTTCACACCATTATTAATTTGATCCAAACAATATTCCTTGTCAATCCTTTCTTTGAGTTGTCCAAACATATTTGTTACAAGATTCTGGGAACAAAAACATGAAAATATATTTGGTAAAAAAATATTGCAGGTTTGAAATATAGAGTGGTTAGTTTTAAAATGTCATTTAAAAATTTTTAATTTTTAATTTTTATTTTTTATTGTTCATCACTACAGTGCGGAAACATATAAAAATATCAAATTGTGTTTCGATTTTTTATCACTATTTACAAAACGTTTCGGTACTAAGAAAAACAAAACAGTTTTTTCCATTATACTTTGTTACATTATCCAACAAAAGCAAAATGTGTACCAATCAAACCATAAGAAATTTGGAAGAGTGCCGTCGACACCTATGAATTTTTCCAACCTCTTCGTCAGATATCAGCGAATAAAAATAAAAACTTTAAGCGTTATTATTTGCTTATTTAAAATTAGATGATGTGGGCCTTTACATATTGCAAAGTAGATGGTTACAAAACGCTTAAATGGTGCAGTACAGTTTTTGAACAATGTCTGATCCATTTCTACATGCAACTGTTGCGTTCATTTGAAAATTTTCTTCCCACTCGTGAGGTAGTAGAAAATTGAAGCTTTCTTTCACACTTTCTTTGTTGTCCTTCACAATACACCACACCTACTAGCCACACACAATGGTGAGGGTGGGACCGTGGGGGCACTTCATTTTTTTTTTTTTTTTTTGAGAGCACAAATAGAATTTATTTACAAAATAATACATAGTAACTAGAAAGGGTATCTTGGGGAGGAATGCCCCGCTCTCCATCCTCCACACTCACCCTAATTTTCTCTAATTTTTTTCTCGCACTTTTATTAGTAATTTTATCTTTCCCATTTACTTCAAATATATATATGTATTTAACTATTTACTTTAATAATCTATTTTAATATTCTTATTATTATTATTATTATTTTAAAAGTAAATGGGTAAGCTTAATATTCTTCTTTTCTTTACATGAAAGTAATACAAAGTTATGGGTCAAAACTCAAAAAGCTCAAACGGTTGAAAAAGACACAAGAATAGATAGAGCCATCAATATGTATATGTATATGTATATGTATAAAGTGGTACTCCAATATAAGGCTATACAAGGGAGGGGCATAGGGAGTAGGTAAGTACTCCTGTCTCCTGCAAATACATCACTTCGAGATCTTTGATTGCTTCTCGCACGGACTGGACAGGAGGCGATCGGCGCGCTGTTACGCTTCAGTTTTCAACTTAAATCACTTTCCGTAACTCACAAAATGTTTAATATATATAGTAACTGAAAATAAAAAAATAAAAAACTTAGAAAAAATTGCATGAGGAAATTATGATTCGTAAAATTGGTTATGATTGTGATTTTGATAGCGATCGCAGTATAACAGATTTAGACAAAATCAATATAAATTAAACAATATAAATTGCATATCAATTTTTAAAAAAAATTATATATCAATCGATATATGGTGTATTAATTGATAATGCAGTGCAGTGGGACATGCTGTAATCTATTTTTAAAATAAACCAGTGAGTGGGGAGATTCAATGGACTGATGTACCTTATTGAGAGGCAGACAGACTAGTCTGTTTGTTTTGGTTGCATCTTCAACGGAAGGATTAAGTTTTGGGCCACGTGTCTCATTGGGATACGTACACACCCAAGTCTAACATCATTTCTCGTGCTAGTCAGTGTGGTTTGACTAATATTTCCACTCCATTAATTCTATGTTGCCCATTGTGTATTACTAGACTTTAAAATTAGGAAGTTTCAAACTCTATTTTCACATATTCCCCCTAAATAAAATTACAAATTAATTCTTATACCACACAAGTTTAGTTATTAACATTTTTAATATTATAATTGTTTTTCTTTATTAAAGTAAGACTCCTATTATTTTCTTGATACAAGTTTAAGGCTAGTGTCATGGTGAAAATTAGAGTGATATGCTTTCACTATTACAATGGTACTAATTATAATATTTTATAAATGTGATGGCATATTTAAGAGTGAGGATAATGACAGTATGTTGTTAATACTTTAATTTAAAAAAAAAAAAAAAAAAATTACAAATATTGTGGTTGTGAAAGTGAGGTCATATATCATCGCTTTCACAATGACACTACCTGTAATTTTAAAAAAAATAAAGGTATAAGAAGGGAATTAGGTTTTGGTGACCAAATTTGAGAAAAATTATTCAAAGTGACCTTAAACTCTGACAAAGATATATATGGTAACCAAAAATTTAAAAATAATTAACAATAAGTGACCATTTAATTTTAGTGTCCAAAATACCATTTTCCCATTCGGATATCTCAATCCCTCCTTTTCTCTTCTCCAAGGCCACCCAAATATGGGTAAAAGCACAAAGAATAAATATAGGTTAATTAAAAACAGAGTAAAAAACGTATATTGGTTCTGCGTTAAGTAAAATAAATACTACTGTAATACGTAGGGTGATTTTTCAATTCGGAAAAAGTTCATGCATCATCCATCATGTAGTCACAGTCGCTTAGGTCTGTCTGACTGATTAACACATGTTTTCTTGGAAAGATAAACGTCTTCAATTCAATAATACTTCAATCAACGATTGATTAGTGATAGAGTTTGAGTGATGGAGACATTTATTTAATTATTTATTTTGGAAAAATAATGTTACCATTTAGAGCAGCCTTAATAAATTCATGTCTTTTTTATCATCCTTAGATCTTTTTATCATCCTTCGATCATATGGCTCAAATCATAAGTGCTCTCCAAATCTAATGATAATAAAAACTCACACTTAATGATGCTATGAGTGTGCATGCATTACTCTTTTTTTAGTCCCCATATATGATACATTTGTTTTATATTAAATGTCCACTTTATTCTCAATTTTTATTCTAAAGTCGTAGAAAATCTAACATTATACCATCTATCAGCTTAAAATGAAGTACTTCAATTTCATCACATAAAAACTAGCAATAACTAGTTTGATTTGGCATACCAATTACTGAGTATGCTTGGTATATTATATATATACTCCTTGATAAAATTCTGATAAACTCATTGAGCTATTCATGTTGCCGAGAGTCCTAACTGACAAGCCAACCACAACATTAGAAATTTACTTTTATTGCACTAAATGGTAACTAAACTTGAGCCGATCATTCCATTCGTAAATTAATTAAATTTAACTGATAAATATAAGTGTAGTGGCAGAAGATTTGTGCATTTAGAGATTAAAAAATATATATATATAATTAAACCTAGCTAATCATATCCCTGTATACATAAGTACTTAAGTACACAGTATTAACCAATCATAATGGATCAGTGCGGCATTCAACATGACAGTAGCACCTCTCCCTCACTCTTCTCTCTTTTTCTGTGAACCTCTTTGTGTTGTGTTTGTGTGTGTGTGTGTGTGTGTGTGATGGATAGAGTTGAAATGGAAATGACAAGAGAGAGACGATTAGATGGGATGTTTGTCCCACGTGGGATTCGCACGTGGGTACAATACTGCGGCGGATGGAAGAAGTTGCTACAATGTGTCGCATATATGTTTACCATGTATATATATATGTATATATATGTATGTATATATGTTTGCTTCACGCAACCTACTCCCCTACTGCTTCCTCCACCACTTGCCGTGGCTTTAAAGTTTGCACCAAAATTCCTCCCCAACCCCTCTCTCACTCTCTCTCTTTATATACATACATACATATATATATATATATCTATCATACTACTATAAAATTTCCCAACTTTAGCTCTCAACTGACTCAATTACAAGTAGGCCACCACCAAAGTTAGCCTTCCACATTTTCTAATTCACAAAACCCCTTTCCTTTTCTAAATATCCGTCTCTCTCTCTCTAAAACTGGGTGGGAAGATATATAATTTCTGTGTAGAGAGAGAGAGAGAGAGATGAGTGGTAATGATAATGGAGGTGGGCCTTGTGGTGCCTGTAAGTTCCTTAGGCGGAAGTGTGTGAAAGGGTGCATATTTGCACCATATTTTGACCCGGACCAAGGCACGGCTCACTTTGCTGCAGTGCACAAGGTGTTTGGGGCGAGCAATGCTTCCAAGCTGCTGCTCAGAATACCGGCTCACAACCGTCTCGACGCGGTTGTCACGCTCTGTTATGAGGCTCTCGCTAGGGTTAGAGACCCTGTTTATGGCTGTGTTGGCCATATCTTTACTCTCCAACAACAGGTATATACATACATACATATACATATATGCTTTTTGTATATGCATTCTACTTTTATGTTCTCTATTTGCAAAATCTTCATGCTAACGTGCGCCAGATGTCTTTTTGTGTGTGTGTGTGTGTGTGAGATGTCTTTTTGTGTGTGTGTGTGTGTGTGTGTGAGGGGTCTAGGTGGGGCTAAGGAGATTTCAGATTCAGATTGGTTATTACTAATTTACTATTAGGATGTAGTGTAAAAAAATATTGTGAAATAGTATGTTTGATTTCAACTATGCTAACGTGCGCCTGGGGCTGTGTACACGATTATAATGGCTAGGGTAGCCATTTCCGAGTAATTACACTAGTCAGCTGAGTACAAGACTATAAAGTTATCCAAAAGGCTTCAAGGTTTTCACTTATAAATTTATAATGTTTTGAATCGGTACTAGCTTTTATTTTTCTAAAAATGAATTCCGATTTATTGCTAATGTGCGCCTAGGTGTATATCATTGTCTGTATTGTATATGGATAATTATGTGTGATTAATGGGCTTTGTTGATGAATATGTGTGCGTGTGGGGTTTTTAAGCTTAGCTAGAATTAGTTTCAAATATCCAAGTAATTAAGAGTTCACTTGTGAGATTCTGCTAACATGAGCTCTGGTGCATTTGCTCTCTATTATTTCTGGTTGCTGCTAAATTACTGTTGTAACTTAAAGTAATCCAAAACAGACATATTCAGTGAATTTTTTTTCTACTCAGATACTAAAGTTTTCTAGTATCATTCCCATGATATTCCCTCAAAAAAAAAAAAAAAAAAAAACATGTATTATTGTGCTAATATGCACCTGTGTGTCCCATGTTCTCTTCTAAATGGAAATTAACGTGGAGAACTGCAAATGTCATTCAAAATAGTCCGGGTTTTGTTTCTGGTAAGACTGGTTGTTTGACAACACTGTTAATATATAGTTCTTCATATATGCATTAATTTGTTGCCACGATAATACTAACGTGCGCCCGCAGCTTGGCATCAATTTCTAGGTTTAACCTTATAGAGCAAAAAAAAAAAAAAAAAAAAACTATGAAGTGCGACTGTTAGAGTACTATTTTTTGGGTAAGGTAGAGTTCCATTTTTTACATATATAGTAATGTGATTTGTTGTGGATTAATTCTATGGAAGTTTTTTTTTTTTTTTTTGGGAAATTTTCTATGGAAGTTGAGTCCTCAACTCTCTTGCCAACTTATGCTTCTACACGTTTGTACATATTTCCACACACGCACAATATTTTATATATATATATAGAGAGAGAGAGAAAGAGAGAGGAAGCCGCCATGTAGTGGTGGATGGTTATGGACTGAAGGGTCTTGATGCTTGCCGGGGCTACTAAGTAAACTTGGAAGCTCGAGAAATATTCAAATGTTAGTGTTTTGACTTTCTTCCTTCCTTTTTGAGTTCTTATCTTCTAGCAGGAGAAATAAGACATGTTAAGGTATATATTTAAATATATAAAAATAAAATATCATTTGTTTGATCAGTTGTGTGGACGCAGAATTTAAGTCTCCCTAGGTCAGATGATCAAATTTTCTTTAATTTGATAATAATAATATTATTGTTACAAAATTTTGATCTTGTTTGCAAATATACATAGGATCATCGAGATTTTAACCATTGACTAAAGAGAACCAGACTAGTCAGTATTGTAGTAAAAAATTGATAGCATGTTGGACTAATGTAATTGTTTTGCACGAGTCCGAGGTTGGCGTCATGATATAATTATTAATGATAAAGGTGTCAAAAAAAAATTTTGGGTGGGGGAAACAGCCCTTGGTTGAGATCATCATATTTTATGTGAGTAAAAGTTGACATTATGTTAACGTAGAATAAAAACTCACATCGTGATAACGTCAATATCACTCACATAAAAATTGTTACTAAAGTTATCCGAAAAATTCCCTATCATGAATTTAGTGCTGTTTTTAATCAATTGAAAAGTTATAATGCTGTATACAGTGTGTGTATATATATTTATATGTGTGTCTATATACATCCCACTGTACATGCATTATTGGATAGAATAAAAAATTGGGTATATAAACACCAATAACGTACCCTTATCTTTGTATTAGGTAAGATGCCAATTCCTGCTTAGAATTGACTACTCATTTAGTTCTGGGAGAGATAGTGATGACAAATTAAAGGTTGAAAATATTCGGACAAAACCATAGATTTTCCTAATAAAATGATATATATTAAAAATGAAATTATATAATTTTTATACACTTTACCGACCTATATATATATATATATATATATATATATATCTTCAAATTTCCTCAAGTTTATTAGAAAATTAATAATTCCCCCCATCCTATTTTGGCTCCAACATCCTTATCCTTTCACATGTTTGCAGTTAATTTGCTTCACCATAATTAGATGAATATTATATTCCCTCTTATACAGACAGTATTACTCACACCATCTCATTGATGTATAGGGATCACAATTCACAAGATCAATTATTAGATGTTATGCCATTTTGATGAAACTAGAGAGAAGAGAACTAATTAAGATTATCCATGTCAGCTAGCTAGCAAGTTGATCAGTTTTTAATATATACACAAACTTGTCCATAATTTTCAATAAGACCGCCAAGGGCTATATTTTAACCATGTATTCTTTACCTCCCAAAGCAGAAGGAGAAGGTTCAATTCTCTATAAGAACAAATGATCGCATTTTTAATCTATGTAAATTCAACATGAAAAACCCAAAAGCTCTGCCCCTTATCCGGTTATCCCCAAACTGAAAAATGGTATATTTTTCTTTCGATTTTGAAGAACTAAGTTTGCTCAATATTGCTAACATATATAGACTATGTAAATAATATTTAAAAAAAAAAAACTATGATACAATTAACACATAATGTGGAATGTAGTGTTTAATTATAAGTTGCACAAGCAGTTTGGGGACTAATTAACCTTTTCTTGTTTATATTGAGGCAGTGTACTGATAACAATTTTTTTTTTATATGATTGTAGGTAGCTAATTTACAGGCGGAATTGGCATATGTTCAAGCTCATCTTTCCACCTTGCAGCGTCTCCCTCTTCCGGCTCCTCGGCCAGAAAGTCCTCCACCGGCTAACATTCAGTCCTCTTCGGACATGGGATCCACTTACGACACATCAATGCATTTTGATCTTCCTTCACTGTCACAGAATGGATCGACGTCAGAAATGGTGAGTTTGTGTAGCCCTATTGATCAAGAGCTCGAAGATGGTGATCTTCAAACTTTAGCTCGCGAATTCGTTGTGTCTAGATACTTGCCAGGAGTAGGTGTCCGGCCCTCGAGTTCCCAGTGAAAATTAATGTAGTGGTTCTGAACTCAAAATTATGCATCCTTTTTTCTAACTATATTAGCACATTTTGTATTGATCATTTGATCTTAGAACTTTAATCAAATGTACTTTTTGTTACATTTTTCTACTTAGCGTATTAAAACTATAAACTTAATTCAGACCTTTGTTGATCAGTACTTAAACCTTTTTTGGGGCTATAAAAACTCTAGAACCTTTTATCTTGAATTGTTGCTGTTATGTTTTAAACTTTTCACAGTTGTTGTTTTCATAACTAGGAACCCTATACATATCACTTAAATTATGTTATTTTTGCATTCGGGGGAGTTAAACCTAGGATGTCAGAATTTACGTGAACAATGCTATACAAGCCCCGGCTATCGGCCAACAGCTAAATTATTGACGAGGTAATGGTGGGATCCATCACTTGTTGTGGGGTTCAATTCTCTCACATCAGTATATAACTTTTTCTTGTATATATTCAATGATTAAGTATTATGTCATAATCATGTAGTTATGAATTATATAATAATTACTTAACAAGAATCGAAATCGAAACGGTCCTAACGGTTCTTAAAAATTGAAACCGGAATTAAAACCGTTGAGACATGGAATCGGAACCAGAATCGAACCGGTTCCACAGTTCCAGTTCCTTTTTAAAAAATATATATAATTAATGACTCTAAGCCCTTTCATAGTGCATTTTTATGTATAATATTGTACATGGGAATATAGTTTACTATATATATCTCTTTGTATGCATCAATTGATATATATATTAGTAATTATATAATTAAAAACACAATATTTATAATTATTTAACGATTCCGATTCAGGATTTTGTAACCAGAACCGTTATTTAACGGTTTCAAAATTTCAGAACCGAAACCGAAATCGAAACTGAAGCATCGGTTCCGGTTCGGTTCGGTTCGGTTCTACGATTTTTTTTTTTTTTTTCGGCACCCCTGTTAACAAGGTTGTCAAGTAGATTGGGCTTTTCTGGCACAAGAGGCTTCGGAAACAATGCTATTGGGCCCATCCTTAACCCAAGTCGCTAGTAGTCCTGTATTGAGCACATGCCATGACAAATGAACAAAATGCTTCTATTAGGAGCTTCTTCCAATGGCGGCACCAAGTTCATCCTTCTTTGCCTGTTCCCCAAGTAAAAAAAAATTTCCCAGAACATTTTTTTTTTCTTTTTCACAATTTTCTTGCTTCAAATGGTTGATGTAGTTTTAGAATAACTTGGAGAATTAATGTTCCATATTTATTTTTGTGCATGCCATGTTCTCGAACCAATAAAAGCATCTTTCCAATTGTGAAATTAAAAAATATAAATCAACCACCAAGCTATAATATAGCCCAGTAATATAAAAAGGGAAAAGATTAAAAAATAATATATATATATAAAATATAAATCATGAGACGACCCTAAGCCCCACCTATAATTGCTTCCGATAGGCCAGAGGCACATATAATACCAAGCAGGCCCATAACGGGCCCAGTAGGCTACAATAGGAATATAACCCTAAGTATATTAGGAGTTTACTCCAATGGCGGCACCAAGTTCATCCTTCTTTGCCTTTTCCCCAAGTAATATATATATATATATATGATAGCCTAACCCAGCACCCCATCCCAGTAATAACGTAAGAGAGCTATTTCCTATTTGTCTCGTGACTTGATTGATGCATTCTTGTCTTTCTTATTCCATGTAAGTAAAGGAACTGGAAAACTCCGAACGGCACGGTCCACAGAAGGTTGAGAAAGCAGTTCGCCTATTATACACCGAGAAAGAGAAAAACTTCTATATGCATAGGATCTTATAGAAGGCTCCTTTGGAGGATCATTGGCTTGCATCTTTTCCTTATTGTTCGTTCGCGGAACCCTAGCCTCCTTACTTCTTCTCATCTCTCTCCTATTAATATTTTTCTGCCGGAAACATGTTAATCCGAAGGCATGAATGGAGGTTCAAAACTGAATTCGTTTGGCTTGAGAATACAAATTCACAAAGTTACATACAATCATGCCTTTGTCGAAGAAGAGAATATCAGAGATTCTAAAGAATCATACCCAACTTCGACCGAGTCTTTGTTGGATGAAACATTGTTCTCTCAAATCCTCGATCCATTCCTCTCTACGGTCGGAATCATGATGAATGAACATTGCCATAATCGCATTCTATCTATTTGTCGTGCAATGACAAGTATTGACACAATAAGTCACAGTACTACTGCGGTGCCCTTTCCTGTCATGGACAGGATGAGATGTGGAGGGCTCAGAATGTGTTGCCAACCTTACCGTAGGCTCCGATACTTCCTCCATGGATCGATGTATCATTTGTTTGGATCATTTGTTTGGATAAGTTTCGGGTTGGTTTTGATGTGGCAATCATTCGTTGGCTCCAACAATGACAAATTGTAATTTGTGTGATTGTTCTCCGTTTTCCATTTTTCTTACCTATAAGATTTGTTTCATTTTTTTTTTTTTTTATATGGAATAAAAATACATACTTTTCTTATTCTCTAATTTCTAATCTATGTTTGTGAGTATATTGAAGATGCAATTATATGAAGGAAATTCAGCTCTCCCTTAGTAAATAGAATAGTATGAAATGAGTGATTCTTCCTGTGCAAAAGTTTTAGTTAAGTAGAGTTTTTGCGAAGAATTAAAATCTGTTGTATCGCAAAAGTAAATATTGTAACAAAACATAAAAGTTTGCAACAAATATGCGTTTCTTCACAAGATAATACCATGGATGACAGAAAGATCTGTAAGGTTGACAATTAGTCATGTGCAAAAAGGAAAAGACAATCTTCCGGATTTATGAACTCCAGTTCACTCAAAACACACACACACACAATTTCACTTCCATTTATCTAGTCTAAAGTGGCAGTCTTTTGAACAAAGCTAGCATTGGGGAAGGCAGCCTTCCCATATAAATACATGAATAAACGCCAGAATCCAGAAACCATATAAAGCTAATACTGTAAATACAGATTCATTGCGTCTTAGAGGCACAGATAAAGCAGACTTACTGTATAGCATCAGGCTGTCTTTCGGGCAAAGAAGCTTGGAATTCTGGTAAAGCCTTGCATGACTCGTATATAGCACTTAGAGTGGGGAAGTTGGACTGCAAAAACAGTCACATAATTATTTATCTTATGAAAGTTGAGGGGTTAACTGGTAAATAGAGTAGTTATCCCGAAAGCCATATATTGGAAGAATAATGAGATCATTCTATCACATTGTATTGCAATTCTGGAGAGCAACCATGGACAAAACGCAATCCTATGTAGTTGGATGTTTACTTAATGTCAATTGTTCTTTGTCTTTCAATACTGCATTACAAGATTTTTGTTTCACTAGCAATCTATCTATTTTAAATATTCAAGAATTAGGGGTGCCAGTGAGTCATGTCAAGTCGGATTTGTGTAGGGTTGAAATTAGCATGCTAGGCAAGATAACATGATCAACCCGAACCTCTTTAAAACTGTATTGGGTCCATGCGAATTGAAAATTAGTTTCGTTTGACTAAAAGGTATACAATTTTGAACTGCATCTTACAATCCTATGCTGTGATGATCCAGAAATGTTAAATCAAGTTAGGTAGCATTAAAAATTTATGTAGGGCAAAACCCTTGTGGTCTCCCTATAGGATTGCTAGAAATGCGGGATTGCAAGTTGGCTCCTATCTTCACTGATCCTACTCTTTGGCCTTAAAATAATATTCTTGCCAACTCTTGGAAAAATTAGTGCATGTTGCCAAATAATATTATAAAATGAAGACTTGCTTATCGAAAAGTATTATAAAATGAAAACCAAGATCCACTAAAACGGTGGAATTGAGTCATTTGTACAAAGTTTGACCTCATTTTGACTAGTTGACCGCTTAATTTAGGTCATACCTCTTTTTTCCCTTTTGATTGGTTTATCTTGCTATATAAGTAACGTAAGAAAGGACAACCTTCTCTCCCTAAAACTCAACGAGTTTATTTCGTACCCATTAACCTCTTACCTTTATATTTACATGTAGGTGTATATTTTATCAAGATATGAGACGAAATTCAATTCCTTGTCCTCTCTATAGTTCCAGAAACTCTTTCAATGTTCTGTTTACGCTATTATAATACTCTCTGAAGATATTCTACTTATTTTAAAGCTATTTTATTGCCTTTTATTCCTCCTCCTCTACTCTCAACCATCCACTGCAAATGTTAATTTGACCAACTCTTCGCACCAACTAATTAATATCCCATGGAATTCACGAATATATACAATAGATCCTTTCCACATGCATGGACAAATCCTTCTAAACAGATACTCTGAAATCCTAATTATAACTGTTTTATGTCTGTCCATATTGTAGACCTTCGTTGTGGACTTGGCACAGCCTTTCATAATTCTTCTGCAGCAGCTGTTTCTTAAATGATCTTACTTAGATTAATCTAGTACTGAGGAAAGGAAGCACTTAAACTTAGGTGGGAAATTATATGCTTTTGTGTCTAGGCTTTATTTGGAAATGATAAAATGAATGAATGGAAGTTGGAAACAAAGATGCTTTCACCATATGCAGCAAGAAAACAAGAAACAAACAATTTACAATAGAGCAATAGCTATTAAGCATTATATGGAATTTAGTACTGGTATCTGATATAGAAAAAACATAGTACAGTGCTGTGTGTGTTTGACTGAGGGGAAGGTGGCAATGGGAAGAGGGCATACCATGTCGACATTAAACCTCTTAGTGGCTACAGCGATTTGCGGGGCCAAAAACACATCAGCCTGCAAATGACAACCCCTAGTTAGTCTTGGCTCTTAGATATTTTCTGTTTAAACACCATAATTGTTTTTCTGTTTTACTCTTCCTCATCAAGCATCGGCTAACATCAGAACAACTCAGAATTCCTAATCATTGAAGCATCATATATATATATGACAATTATTAATTAAATAACACCAAGAAGCACAACAGTGAACCAGTTCCTGAAACAAACCTCTATAATTGCAGAGCGCAATATATATATATATAAATAAATTGTTTGAGTCAATGTGAAAGAGAAAACAAAGTATTAGA